TCGCTGTCTGCAAATTGCTCCCCAGCTGATACTTCAAAACCACTTACCTGGCTCCATTACCTACGATTAAGTCCAGGACTGTCCCCTGTCTTGTAGGGCCTTCTACAGACTGACTTAAAAAGCTCTCTTGAATGCAGTTTAAGAATTCCGCTCCCTCTAAGCCTTTCACACAATGACTACTCCAGTTAACGTTGGGAGAAGTTGAAATCCTCCGCCATCATTACCCTATTACTTGTAGCCGAAACTGTTCTAAAAAAAATTGCTCCCACACTCTCTCCAATGCATTCTCTTCTATCCTATAATGTGGCACCAACAACTGAACACAGTACTCCAACTGAGGTCTAACAAGTGTCATGTACCAAGTTCACCATCACCTTCTTGCTGGGTGTATTGATGGGTACATTTTAGTCCTGCTTGTGTGGAATCATAATGCTGGGGAGGATGGGATGGAAATTGGTAAGGGAAAGGCAACCAATAAGTTGCTTCTTAATAGGATCATAGAGTTGTACAGCATGGAAACAGACCCTTCAGTCCAACTAGTCCATGGTGACCAGATAGTCTAAATTAACCTAGTTTTGTTTGCCAGCATTTGACCCATATCCCTCTAAACCCTTCCTAATCATATACCCCTTAAATGCCCCTTAAATGTTGTAATTGTACCAACCTCCACCACTTTCTCTGGCAGCTCATTCCATACACGCACCACCCTCTGCGTGAAAAAGTTGCCCCTTATGTCCCCTTTCAAATCTTTCTCCTCTCACCTTCAACCTATGCCTCTAGTTTCTCTCACCCTGGGGAAAAGACCTTTGCTATTCATCCTATCCATGCCCCTCATGATTTTATAAACCTCTATAAGGTCACCCCTCACCCCCTGACGCACCAGGGAAAATAGCCCCAGCCTATTCAGCCTCAACCTATAGCTCAAACCCTCCAACCCTGGCAACGCCCTTTTAAATCTTTTCTGAATCCTTTCAAGTTTCACAACATCTTTCCTATAGCAAGGAGACCAGAAATGAAGGCAAGATTCCAGAAGTGGCCTAACCAATGTCCTGTCCAATATGCAATCTTTGTTCGGGAGCTGGGAGCACTCAAATTGGAAATAATAAAGATTCTGTTAAGGGAGAGGGTTCAGGAAAGATTTTCGAGAATTCTTTCAGGTATTTCATAGACTCCAGTTTTTCTATTTGAGAAAAGTAAACTTATTTGGATGGTTATTTAAACAAAAATGACGTCCAACTGTATGGGGTAAAGGCACGAGATAATAATGCTCATTTGGACAGTCACTGCAGGCACAAAGGGCTGAATGATCTCCATCTGCACCATAACACTTTTGTGATTCTGCGACCATGAGGCAGGGAGTCCAATCAGAGGAAAAGGGAAGAAATCATTCCCAGTTGCAGAAGGATCGAGAACATTGATTCAGCAACATTTGCAGGTAAAGGGATCAGTGCAATTTGGCGTTTGTTGGTTGGCATAGACCCAGTGGGCCAAAGAGCCTGTTTCTATGCTGTGTGACTCTGACAATGATGTGTGGAAAAAAAAACCTTTTGATGCCACAAATGGTTAGGATCTGGAACGCCCTACCTGGGAATGAGGCAGAGGCAGATTCAGTTAAGAATTTGAACATTAACTAAGGGAAAAGAATTTGCAGGCATACAAGGGAAAAAAAACGAGGGAGTGGGTCTAGCTGAATTGCTGTTGCAGAGACGTGGCACTGACATTATTCTGTGTTTTACTAACACTGGATTGAGACAGAGAAGTATAGCATGCAAATTTGTGAAACTTTCCCTATTGGCTGCGTTTTAAGAATTTTAACCATTTATCGGTGGCAAAATTCAACGTGCCACATATTAGAAAGATTATTTCGTGAATCGCTGCTAATATTTACAAACAAAATAATGGTTAAGCATTAATCTGAGTGTGTTAGACATTCCTCTAACATCATCTTGATTTATTATGCGTAACGCTGCCCATGCTGGCACCTTCAACCGCTAACTATTCACCCTTATCTTGTACAGCTCTCTCCTTCCAGGCACTCAGAGTTTCTTTCTACCCAAGCAGTCTAGAAATTACTCAATTCTGGATATCTGTCATCCTGTAAGCAAACTGACTTGAGTTAAAATGCTACCCCACCTACTCACTGAAAGTCTAGCAAATTTCAATTTATTTCCTATTCTCCAGCAGTAGTAAATACAGGACGTTGGGTAAATCTTGGCTGTACTTAACATTTCTAGCCATTTTGATTTTTGTTCACTTTGGTAGAATTAAAAATAAGATGAGATATAAAAATGGGCTAGAGGTCGATTGCTATCCATTTTACACAACTGTACAAAAGAAAAATCTAGCCCAGTGTTTTACGAGCTGCAATCTCTACGTGGATCAGATATTCTGAAGCATTCCTTCACATTTAAAAAGACTTTACTGTATTATCCTGCTGGTCTTTTTAGTTTCTTCTCAAATGTATGAGATTCATTATAACATCTATATTATTTCAATTCAAGTTCAGAAATTGCTCCTGCCAATTAAAATTTTGCCTCATCTGCACATTTAAGTTATGAATTTAATCTAATCTGAATTTAAATTTGCTCTGTTCAAATGCAATACAATTTTAAATTCAGTGTGAATTTAAATTGTGTGATTTGAAAATAATTGTGTGTAACATGAATTTTAATTGACTTGAATTTCAATTTTCTGTGAATTTAATTTGCGTGATTTTGAAATTTTTATTGTGTGCCACATGAATTTAAATTTGCCAGGTGGAGTGGCAGATAGATAGGATAGCGAAGAAGGCATTTGGTATGCTCACCTCTGTTGGACAGTGCATTGAATATAGGAGGCCACGTTGCAGCTGTACAGGGCATTGGTTAGGCCACTTCTGCAGTACTGCGTGCAATTTTGGTCTCCCTCTTATAGGAAGGATGTTGTGAAACTCGAAAGGGCTGGGAAAAGATTTACGAGGATGTTGCCAGGGTTGGAGGGTTTGAGCTATAAGCTGACGCTGAGTAGGCTGGGCTTATTTTCCCTGGAGCATTGGAGGCTGACGTTTGACTTTATAGAGCATTACAAAATCATAAGAGTTATGGATTCGGTAGATAGGCAAGGTCTTGTCCCTGGGGTTCGGGGAGTCTAAAACTAGAGGGCATAGGTTTAAGGTGAGAGGGGAAAGATTTAAAAGGGGACTTACGGGGCAACTTTTTCACGCAGAGGGTGGTGCGTGTATGGAATGAGCTGCCAGCGGAAGTGGTGGAGGCTGGTACAGTTACAACATTTAAAAGGCATCTGGATGGGTACATGAATAGGAAGGGTTTAGAGGGATATGAGCCAAATGCTGGCAAATGGGCTAGATTTATGTAGGATATCTGGTCGGCATGGATGAGTGGACCGAAGGGTCTGTTTCCGTGCTGCACAGCTCTACGACTCTATGACTTGAATTTCAATTTTCTGCAAATTTAAATTGTTAGAAATTAAGAGCATAAGATATAGGAACAGAATGAGGCTATTCGGCCCATTGAGCATGCTCCACCATTTGATCATGTCTGATATGCTTCTCAACCCCATTCTCCTGCCTTCTCAAGGAGATTAGGTTGCTGTATATTAAGCATGCTCATAACAAATCTGTTTCAATAAAGTTATTTTTTGAAGTGGTTTTGTAAAGCTTTGAATGGCATAAAATGTTCCATGAACTTATATTTTGAGATTAACAGTGTTTTGTGGAAGCGCTTGGATGCCTTTCCTTCTGAATGTTTTCAAAATCTTGTTAGACAGTTGAGAGAAGTTGAACTAGGTCACTGGGTTTTATCTACTTTTTACTGTTTGGGCTAATTCGCAATAAACATATTTCAACTCAACCACTGTGACTTGCAACCTACAATTTTTCCAAGTGTTCCAAGCTTCAAGTGTTTTAAACATTTTTTTAATCAGCCTCACGTTGCCTCGTCCTATTTATCTTTGGAACATCCTGCACTCCTAAACCCTGCAAAGCCCTTCGTAACTCCAACTCCAATCTCCTACATGTTCTCCTTTCTCCTTTTACACAACTAGTCATGGAACTAGCAAGTTTCCAAACTTTGCAAGTCCTTCCCTGAAGTACGCTGTCTGTCCAGCTCCCTCTCCACTACAAGACCCTCCTTAAAAATGCTCCTTGATCAAGAATTTTATCACTCTTTCTTCTAGAATGTATCCCTCTGTGCCTGACCATCTATTGTTCTCACAGCTCTGTTAAAATTCACCATAGTCCCAAAGAACCACAGGACTGCTGTCTCATTACAGAGAGACAACAGGCGGTTGGTTTAACCGGAGGGTCATTATGCCACTGGAGAGGGGCAAAGTTGAGAAGACCAGACCTTCGAGATAACCTGAGCTGGTGTGGGGAAGCTCTGTAAGCTGTTTCAGGACAATTTTGACACCAAATGCGCTCAGTAACTGCAAACTGTTATTCAAATAAACAGAGTCAGAGGATTTGAATTTGAAATTTGAATGTGGTTAATAAATCTGGAATTCAGAGCTAGTCCCGTTGATGGTGGTTATGAATCATGGCTCGTTTAATGTCTTTTAGTGAAGGAAATCTGCTATCCTTACGTGGTCTGACCTACATGTGACACCAATGTGATTGATAATGAATGTGCTTCTGAAATGGTCCACGCAAGACACTCAGTTCAGGGGCAACTGGATATGCATAACTAATGCTGATCTTTCCAGCAACACCCACATCCCATGAAACAATAAAGAAAACTGGCCCTCATTTTTTGACCTGAAGAGCTGATTTTGATCGTAACTCTTCAAATAACGTTAAAAAGGAAACTATAAAGAGTTAGTTATGTCAATAATTTTCAGGATGTTGTATCACTTCAAAAGGTTTATTAACTTATTGAAATAAAACATTAACAAAGTAGCAGAAAATACAACGTGGCATTGTACTGCCCCCTCTCAGTGCAATTAGAGACCAGAACAACTCTATTGCGGTTGCATAGTGACGCAAAAAAGTAGGAATTTCCTTTTACCTGCCCAGCAACTAAGTGCAGCCATCAGCACAAGTGACCACTTTAAGGGATGCATGGCCAGTAGAAGGTATTCTTCTCCAGAGCAATTTGTCGAGTTCAGAGATACTTGTCTTCAGACACTGAGACACTGAGAGTGATCAGTTTCGGTGTTCGCAAAAGATGACTTTGTGGTCAGTCATTTCCTTTCAAGGAGAAAAAAGAATCAGTTGAAAACTAAAAAAAAATTTAAATTGTATTGTATATTAAAATTCGTTGAGAGCAATTATCTGAATTAGTTTGAACAGGGATGTAGCAAAAAGATGCATTGCCTATGCACACAAGCATATAGTTACTGATCTACAGAATGATTATTCTTTCTTGGGCCAGAACATGTAGATACAGAGAGGTTGTTTCCTCTTTAGGGAGAATCTAGGACCACGGGGCTTGGAATAAGGGATTGTCCATTGAAGACAGAGATGAGGAGGAATTTCTTCCCTCAGAAGGTAGTGAATTTGTGGAATTGTTTACTGCAGGGGCTGTTGAGGTTGGTTCATTAACTCTATTCAAGGCCGAGATAGATTTTTTTAATCAGGAAGGGAATTAAGGGTTAAGGGCGTAAAGGCAAGAAAGTGGAGTTGAAGATTATCAGATCAACCATGATCTCATTGAATGACAGCGCACTATTGATGGGCTGAGTGGCCGACTTCTGTTCCTGTGTCTTATGAGCTTATTACGAGGGAGGGGAGTGGGTGACTCCAGTCTGCTTCAATAACAAAAGGGTGATTTATTAGGATTAATTTGTGTTCCATCACATTGAGAGATAGTTAGAACGTGTGACAATAATTAACTTATTTCCGCCTGGATTATCTTGATAGATCAGCCTAATGTGTACATCTGTTGGTGGAACAAAAACAGAAGCTGCTGGAAAAACTCAGCAGTTCTGGCAGCATCTATGAAGAAAAACATCAGACTTAATGTTTCAGGTCCGGTGACCCTTCTCCACGACACAACAGTTCTGAGGAAGGGTCATCGGACCCGAAACGTTAACTCTGATTTTTTCTTCACAGATGCTGCCAGACCTGCTGAGCTTTTCCAGCAACTTCTGTTTTTGTTCCTGACTTACAGCATCCACAGTTCTTTCAGTTTTTACATGTATTGGTGGGTTTCTTTAGTGGGGGCCCAGGCTATCATTCAGGGAATGCCTGGAGGAGTGGTGTGCCCATGCTGCCTCCATAGGTTGATGGGGGTGAGGTTGGAAGGAAGTGGTGGTGGGGTGCAAATTGGGGCTTTTAGTTGAGATCAGGAGCCGGGGTAGGTCACAAACCTCAACAGCAAGGCCAACCTGGGCTGAGCATTCCCAATCCCTGAATGAAGCGGCCGATGGCAGGTTGGTTGGGAAAACACGGAGAGATCAGAAAAATGAGAAGAAGTCCGATTTTGAAACTAGGGTTTGAGCGGCAAGATGAGGAGCTCCCTGGGGAGAGTTGAGGGGCCTATTTGCCTGCATTATCGGGTGATTAGTCCCTAATCTCACCTCATTGGTGTGAAGCTGCATGCTAGAAAGAAAGAAGGCCTACTCCCGACAGGGAATTCTGAGTGAGTGGATGGCTGTACCAGTCCATCCATGAAGGTTGGCATCAGACTTGCACCAGCCTTACCCCATCAACATGGCATAGCTACAACTCAACAAGTGGACAATACCATTGTCCACTTTCAATGCCGCACTTTGTATTGTGCAAGTGTCTATAATTGCCCTGTTGCTGCGAGCACACAGTGCCAAGGCACTTTGCCAAGGAGAAATCCATCTCATAGATTGGACTAGGCTGCATCTCAGAGCTCCTCACTTGTTCTCTTAGTGCTCACTCATGCTGTGGATGCTCAGAGCATTTCTGCCTTGCCTTGCCTTCTTTTTAGACTTTGCTGTCTTCACAAACATCCATTCCCTCTACCACCGACGCTCAGTAGCAGCACTGTGTACTATCTGCAAGATGCACTGCAGAAATTCACCAAAGATCCTCAGACAGCACCTTCCAAATCCATGACCACTTCCATCTAGAAGGAAAAGGGCAGCAGACATACGGGAACACCACCACCTTCAAGTTCCCCTCCAAGCCACTCACCATGCTGACTTGGAAATATATCGCCGTTCCTTCACAGTTGCTGGGTCAAAATCCTGGAATTCCCTCCCTAATGGCATTGTGGGTCAACCTACAGCAGGTGGACTGCAGCGGTTCAAGAAGGCAGTTCACCCCCACCTTCTCAACGGGCAACTAGGGATGGGAAAGAAATGTTGCCTAACCAGTGATGTCCATATTCTATGCATGAATAGATAATTTTTTTTATCCATTCACAGGATGAGGGTGTCACTGTCTCGACCAACATTTATTGCCCATCCCTGATTGCCCAGAGGGCAGTTAAGAGTCAACCACATTGCTGTGGGTCTGGAGTCACATGTGGGCCAGACCAGGTAAGGATGGCAGTTTCCTTCCCTAAGGGACATTAGTGAACCAGATGGGTTTTTCCAACAATCGATAATGGATTCATGGTCACCATTAGACTCTTGATTGCAGATTTTTAAAGACAAATTGAATTCAAAATCCACCAACCCCACAATAAAGGGAGGAAATGGTCTAGTGATATTATCACTAGACTATTAATCAAGTGGTTTCGGTAATGATCTGGGGGCCTGGGTCTAAATCCTGTCATGGCAGATAGTGGAATGTTTATTCAATAAAAATTCTGGAATTGAAAGTCTCATGATGGCCATGAAACTATTACTGATTCCTGGGGAATATCCCATCTGGTTCACTAATGACCTTCAGGAAAGAAGCTGCTCTCTTGCCCTGGTGTGGCCTACATTTGTCTCCAGGCTCACAGCAACGTGGCTAACTCTTAACTGTCCTCAGGGCTACTGCCTGATTCGGGACAGGCCTAGCCAGGGATGAATGAATAAAACAGAGTGAAAGTTGGCAGACAGCTGGTAATGTAAAGTAGCAATGACTCTATGAATATGAGCTTGTATTTGCAATGAAGTGTCAGCTGTGCCACCTGTGTGCCCTCAGAGGCTATAATTTTTCATTCCTTTGAACATTGTGGAGGGCAGGCCCTCGTTGGCAGGACTTGACCTGTGCATGCTGGGTTTGGAAAATGGCATCTGTGCCAGAAACCCTGGGAAGGACTGGCAGTGGCTAGTATTTCTGCTGTCGTGAGCACACGATGGCGGGTGTAGTGTGCCATTGAGGTGCAGAATGAGGCAAAGGTTGGAGGATTGAGTGGGATAAGTCACTCATGCACACAGAGAGAAAGCCTTCACAGAGGTCCCCGAAATGGACCCTTATCCAATGTTTAGTAAATGTCAGCGAAGTGTTTCCGTGAGGGATGGATGGGAGCATTTGGGATGGTGAAAGCAGGATGGAGATGGGGTTGGGGTGGTGAGGGAGGGGTGGAAGGAATTGGATGGTCGGGACTGAGAGGAATGTCATGGGAAGGATGGAATGGGATGAGAGGGATGGCAGAGACAATGGAATTAGTTAAGTGTGGCAAAAATGTCAGGAAAAGTTATTTAAAAAACTTGATTTAATCTATTTTTCTAGTAAACCTATTCAATAATGTTAGTACACACCTCTGGAGCAAGTGGGACTTGAACCTGAGTCTCCTGGCCCAGGGGCTGGGGCACTGCCACATATTTTATACAATTGTTTGTTCTAAAATTGTTCTTTGCACTGATTGTGAAAAGTCACTAGATTTGAATGAAAATGTTTGCAAAAAGCAGACAGACCAATACATTAAAAGAATAATTTATCGTTTATTTTTCAGTTGAATAAGATGATAAAAATGTATACCAGCAGTTTTCAATCTTTTTTCTGGTTAAAGAACCCTCAATGTAGTGTGAAATTGTGAGAAACCTCAACCTTTTCTTCCTTCTGCCCTCATACTTGATAGAAATGAAAACAAAGAACAAAGCATGATTGAACGAACGTGAAATTCTGCCATGATTATTTTTCATTAAATGAAATTTAATTTTCATTAAATTTTCATTATTTTTCACGTCTAACGTGCATTGTCTGACCTAAAATGTCACCTCTTCTTTACACTGATAAAACCTTTAGTTCTCTCAGGACAGTGACTTAAAAAGAATTCAGGGATTTTCATATACATGTTAATCAATTAAAACCTTCTAACTGATTAAAGATTTAACAGCATCTTAAGTTTATGTAGTACATCCTCATCAATGGTGTGACCCTTTGATCTTTTACTTATAAATTCTGAGTCTGATACCATCCCTCTCACTAACACCTAAAGAAATAGTGACGGTCCACAAGCTTGTGATTTCAAATAAACCTGTTAGACTGTGGCCTGGTGTCGTGTGATTTCTGACCTGTCCACCCCATTCCAAGATTGGCACCTCCACATCATCATTAGATGTAAGACCAATATATCTCAAAGTTAAAGCACTTGCTGCTGTTTTCAAATGATCTGAAAATTGTGGGGAACTTATTTGGAGATACTCGCAAAAGGGAAAAATGATGGGAACTATATCTTTCAGAGCTTTTACATAGTGTAGAACTTCGATGTTCCAGGCTGAAATAGCAGGTAGATTTCATAAATATTATGTATATTCCTCAAGTAGTATTGAACTCATCAGACATAAAGCTGCCCTTTAAACTCAGGAGAAAACATTTCTCAATTTGACTTTCGCACTCCATGGCTAGAAACCAGTACCATTAAGCTCTTGACAAAATTTATATTTGCGTATCTGAACCTGTTTTTTTTAACATGTATACAACATTTTAGAGTTCTTTCCAAGGCAAGAGGTTTTGACAGCATAGAAGTCTTTGGTGATGGAATATTCTAAATATTCTTCATTTAAAGCAGTAAAGATATTAATTTGTTTGCAAATTGTTTGTGGGTTTCTCTTACTATGTAAAAAAAAATTGTTTGCCTGTTTGCAATCTTGCTGAACTGCAACCCTGGTGATAAACAAACTTTTTCACCTTTTCACCTTTTCCCCGCAGAGGACTTGCTAAAACATGATAAAAAAGCTGGCTGCAGCTAAATCGCTGGCCATGCTATCAAACAGCACTTGCTCTGCAACAAGCTGCT